CGAGCGTGTTATTGGTACACACGTGACGTCTAGGGATGCTGCGCGGGTTGACAAGTGAATTCTAGTTCGAACCCGATCCTCCTATACGGGTCAATAGGAGTCGACAAGGTTCGAACTCTCAAACAAATATACGATTGCTACGACCGATATATTTATCTTAATACATTCACATTAGGCTTTTAAGGCCTACGATCAAAAGAATTCACTAACAAGGGCACGAAGCCTACGAAACCCGATCCTCTATCGACAGCCCGATAGAGTTGACAAGGTTCAATCCATAAAGAGAAATGACCCATAACACCCCGATGATGGCCGTGTTGATTGCATATCTCAACCGGAGGGGTTCTCAAATACTTTCAATTGTCTCCCAAAAGTCCATTCCAAATATCTTCCAAGCTCCACCCAAAATCCCAGAAAAATCCACAAAATATCAAAAACTCCACAAAATCCTAAAAATATTTAAATTTGAAATTCAACCTATTAATCACTTAAAGTAAAACCCATCCACCATCCGCAACAGTTTGCCGGGGCAGATAAATTAAAGTTTACTTCAGCTCACAAAGAGCCAAATGCCTAGTCGAAAATATCACTAGGATCCATTCTCAAACAATCTCTTACCAGTAAGGACGTGGTACGTGTCCTCTAACCGTCAGTTTCACCACCAAATGGCACTGCAGGTAAACTATTATGACCCGGGGCCCTCTGAACCGAGTAGTTTTGCCGCCAAATGGCACCACAGATAGCGGTTATGGCCAGAGCCAATACGCTCCTTAATGGCGTTAAATCCTTGAGATATGAATCAATAGGATATGATCGATAGGATACAAAGCCCTCTGTTAGCTAAGGTGGATTTAAATTTGTCCCCTTAGACAAACATTCAACCCCGGTCTACAAGGTTCCCTTGGATATGTTCAGTAGCAAAATTAATATTTACAATAAGAAAAAAGAAAAAGATTATCTTAACTTTATTTTATATGTAAGCATAGTTATATAATATTTAAAAGTTGAATGCATTCAAAAATAGCTATATGATAATGGTTTGCAACCCAAAAGATGGATAGGCAAAGCATCCATATGATTAATGCTAGCATAGATATCTCACCAAGCACATAATTATGCATACACTCATATAAATACTCCCTTTGTTTGTATATTTGTGTGAAGTACATTTATTTATTGAAGTTCAATTCATGACAAGGACTTAATTTGGTTTCATGAAAATAAATAGAAGGCTCATATATATATGTAATTTTTGCTATGTGATTAATGGTAGGTTTCACTTATAATCAAGGAATACACATGCCAACACATATGCATAAATGTAACCACCACACAAACACATTACATAAAGTATATGCAAAAGTATATACCCATATGGGTCCTGACAAGCATTTTGTACCTACGTGACATTTTAGGATGCTACTCGGGTCAAGAAATGAACTTACGTTTGACCTGATTCTTCTATGTGAATAGATAGGAGTCGACACAGCTCAAACTGTAGAACAAATATACGATCGCGACATCAATCAGGATATTTGTTTTATACGTTCAAGCTTTTAAGGTCTATAATAAGAAAATTTTATTAATAAAGACATAAAGCTAACAACGAACCTAATCCTCTATCTACAAATAGACAGAGTCCAAAAGGTCCAACCTAATAAAGTGAAATTGCTTATAAGTACCCCGATGATTGTCGTGTTGATAGAAAATCTCAACCAAAGGAGACCCAAACATTCAAAATGCCCCTATATTCCCATGGAATACATTCAATAATACAAATATTTAAAATTAAAATAAAACACCAAAATACTTAAATCTAAAATATCTATCCATCATGCACAACAGTTTACTAAGGTGGACAAATATGAAAATCACTACAACTCACAAAGGTGGTCTTAGATGAAGCAACCCATGATTACCAATATGTCTTTTATCAGTAAAAACGTGGAACGTGTCCTCTAACCAGTGGTTTCACTGGCAAATGGCACCATTGGTAAATAGTTATGGCCGAGACCCTATGAACGGGAGATTTACTGCCAAATGACATCATTAAATTACGGTCATGGTCAGTGATTGTATGTTCCATAATGATATCAAATCCTTGAGTAATGAATCAATATGATACAATTGATATGACATAAAGCCCTTTGTTAGCTAAGGTAGATTCAAATTTGTCCCTTTAGACAAATATACATCATTAGTATACAAGGTGCTCTTAGATGAAGCAACCCATGATTACCGACAAAAATCCTTTTGTCAGGTTGGGATCTTGATCGGGCCCCCACCATCCGCTTTAAGTGCAAATTGATAATTTTTTAATTTTAAATGTTAAGTTCCAAATACATAATCATGTTGTTACTATAGGCTAAATACTATGTATTTGTTTAAAAACTAGCCTTAATCGAAACTTCTCTCTCGCCATAGAGATGGGTAATTAACTATAGGGGCATGCACCTGTAGGAAATCTGAACTCAAATCATAAAGTCCTTGAAAAATGAGGGCAAAATCTCTAGTAAAGTCCTTGAAAATGAGGGCAGTTCAACCGGTGAACCAGTCCATATTCGAAATAACTGACCAGTTCTACAATTTTTTTTAAAAATAAAGTATAAACAATATATTTTATTTTATTATATTTTATTAAATTAAAATTTTTTATTAAATATTAAGATTAATTACACCATAATATATAGATGTTATCTCATAAAATATGCTTTGTTAAAAAAAGTGTGAACTTTATATTATATAAAGTGTTAAAAGGCAATCATCTCAAACTCCTCCATGATGTTGGGCTAAAAAAATTGCATTATGATATATGAGTTTGAATGTGAGTTTGAGCTTTATTGAACCATTAATTTGGGTTGGTTGAGTACAAAGTTTTTTAATCTTTACCCTTAGAGATAGGATATGAAATGAGCATGTACGTGAAAAGGTTGGAGTAGCTCCATTAGAAGATAAGATTAGAGAGAGTCGCCTTAGATGATTTGGTCACATAAAAAGGCGGCCTTCTGACGACCCGGTTAGGAGAGTAGAGGTATTAGATTTGACTTGTGTTAAGAAAGGTAGGGGTAGACCTAAAAAGACTTGGTTAGAAAATATTAGGAATGACCTTTCTTTATTAGATTTAAACGAGAATTTGGCTTTTAATAGGACACAATGGAGAAAAAGGATTCATGTAGCCGACCCCACGTAGTGGGATAAAGGCTTGATGTTGTTGTTGTTGTTGTATAATTTTTTTTTATTTCGTATTAATTTATATAAGTTGAGTGCAATACATATGAATTAATTAAAATTTATATCACATTTATTTTGAAACAAATCAAATAATTCTGGAATTATATATATATTGAATAGTTTATGAAATAGTATCTATCCAAATGGCCCCTTTCTCAAGCATTTCTACGTAAAGCCAAAAATATGAACCTAAATTCCTCCGCCGGCGCACCGCATGTGGAATGGATATCCCAACCGCCATTTGAACCGTCTTCACTGTTCTGTTTTTTCTTGCAACACCGCCGGCTGAGCTCAAACAGGACACAGTTTTCCTTTCCCAATTCTTCGTATCACTTATCAATTTCCTCCAAACCCAAACCCTAGCCATAAAACAATGGAGGGAGAACGAAAGGCACTCCAGTTCTTTTGCATTGGGACCGTTGACACCAAGTACCAAGAGTTACTCTTCCTCTCCGATCGCATCCAATCGAATTTCGCCGCCTTTACGAAAGGATGTCCCTTTAAGGTACTCAATCCTCTGCATCTTGCAATTCTTCAGCCCGTACCATAGGATGGCGATATTGAGTTTCGCAGATTGGTGTCGATCAATTGTAGGGTTTTTGTTTGATCGGTATTCGGAGCGATTCTTTTTTTTTTCTGTTTTTGTTTATTTTTAAATGTTAGGGCGACATTGAAGGAGATGCATTCGTTCGGGAAGCAGTTTTTTTTCTAAGAAAGTCAAGGACGGTAAACGGATTGAGTCTAATTATGGGCCTAGCCGCCACCATTTAGATTTTGTTAACTCAGGAGATTCGTGATAAATGATCGCATGATTCTAAAGGGGAGATGTCTTATTTGTGAGTGTGATCTCTGTTTAATTTTGTTGATGTATGGATCGATGGGTGATATTGATGTTATGAGTATGCTTATTGCTATGGTGAATTGGTGTATTGGTACTGAGAAAGTTTTTGAAGAGGAATAAATGGAAATGGATTTATATGGTTGGTACAAAACTGTGGGATAAGGTTTATGATTGTGGATATGGTTAATGCTTTTGGAGAAGAGGAGGTATTTTGTGGACGGATGATAGGAGGAGATATCATATGGAACATTCCTTAATTCTGTATTTCTTAGTTATTCAATTAGTAAAGATGATTTACTAAGAATACTTGAGTTATTTCTTCCCTTGTATTGGTTAAAGATGCTAATATGCATCTGCCATGATGCATTATTCAATCTGTACTTGTTGGATGCCTAAATCATTTCTCTGACCGATGATTTTGCTGGAGTGAAGCACAAAAGAATAACTAGAAAAAACATAAATGATAACATTGTGTTATCAGTGGTTTGGACAGATGGTGGAGCAGCTAAATGGAGCTTTGCTTACTCTATAATATGTCCCAAGGAAACTTCTTTGCAATGAGCCAACCTTGAGGATCCTGGCTTGTGATCATTTCTATTATTGTGCATCTGGTCCAAAATCATTGCAAATTTGTAACTTTCCCCCCTAACCAAAGTAAAAAAATGGTCTTTTTATCATCTCATACTAGGGGTGAATGATTCAATTTTCAGCTAATCCAACAGTGACTTGAAATCTGATTGCGTATACAAGCTTGTTTAAAATTAGTTCTTGGCTTAAATCTATTTAATTTCAAGCTAACTCAGATTGAATTTGTTCGATTTAGAGTTGGCTCAAATTGGAAATTGTGGTATCTTGGCTATTTGCCATCCTTTTAAAGTTTAGCGAATGCTGATCTTTTCCCAGTTACGATCATACCCAGCAGTTTGACATGATGGTATTATTATTTTCTTTAAAAATTACTTTCAGCTGGAAACTTTTTGCTTTCACTGCTTCGAAAATTCTAGTTTGATGGTAAGCTTGGAACAATTATTGAAATAGCCATTGTAATACAAGAATGGGATGGAGACTGGCTCCGCTAACTCTCACATTTTGCATAATTACTCTTCCAATGCATCTTTCTATCTGTTGCATTTTTCACTTGACTGCATAATTCTATTGAAATGGATTTTTTTCAATGTTTCTTTATGCATTTTGGTTGGATTTGATCTATTTGAAAGCCTTCTATAAGTGGCGTTACTGTTGTTCCCTGCTTTCTTATCTAATGCTGTCACCCTTAGTATGATGCGATCTGTCTTGATGATATAAATAGTCCACAATTCATGTGAGTTTCTTTTCAAAAGATATTATTCACCTGTTCTTGATTCATGAAAATGACAGGTAGAGGTTACTCTAATAGATGTTTCCAGTTCCACTCGCCAATTCAAAATAAGGCCTCCAGAGAATATAGATTTTGTAACTCGAGATAGTCTGCTTTACGACTTTTTGGATGCTGAAGAGAGATTATCCTTCAGGGTACCAGATGATAGGGGTGAAGCAGTTCAAATCATAAGCAAGGCTCTTAAAAGTTACCTGAAAACAGCCCATGAAAATGGCATACTTGTTGGAGCTATAGGAATTGGTGGCAGTGGTGGAACTTCTTTGATCGCACCAGCACTAAAATCTCTTCCTCTTGGAGTTCCTAAGCTCATCGTTTCCACTGTTGCTAGTGGTCAAACGGAGCCATATGTTGGAACATCGGATTTAACTTTGTTTCCATCTGTTGTTGACATTTGTGGTGTCAACAATGTCAGTAAAGTTATATTATCAAATGCTGCAGCAGCTGCTGCAGGAATGGCCATTGGAAGGTTACTGCAGTTTGATATTTCTAGTGAAATTACTCGGAAACCAACCGTGGGCATAACCATGTTTGGTGTGACCACTCCTTGTGTTACTGCTGTTAAAAAAAGATTAATTGAGGAAGGATACGAGACACTTATATTTCATGCCACTGGCATCGGTGGTAAAGCTATGGAAGAGCTTGTCAGAGATGGATTTATTCAGGTATATTGTATAACTTTGTAAAACAATTTAAACTTTTACTTTAAAATTTGATCAGAAACAATATGAACTTTCATAGTAAACTACCACACTAAGTTTCCCTATTGATTCTGGAATCAGCATGCAAATAATTTAGTAGCTAACTTTGGTGTCTTGAAGACTGAATACTTGAAATACCTTTGGAGTATGAGGTGAATATTGAAAATGCCATTATAAACTATACAGAGGAAGTATCTGCATGGAGTATAAAGTAGGCATACCATTTTATACTGTAACAAAAGAAATGTAAAGTGAATTTGCGTGTGAATCATTTATTTTATTGCCATCGTGCAGTAGAGAAAGCAGCCTCAAACTAATGGTAAACATAATCTTAATTTCCATTGAGAGGAAATGATTGGACCTTTTTTTTCCCCTTGTGAACAGGACACAACATTGATGAACTGTTTAATAGTGGTAGGATTAGCAAGAGATTAGTGTCATGTCCTAGAATCTAATTTGAAATAATTATTTTTTTTATCTTTTAATAAATAACATCAAAATTATCTAACTTCATTTATCAGAAATAAATAACATAAATAATTCTATAATTCAAAACATTAATATATACATCTGTATTCAATTTTCAAAATCATATACACTACTCAGTATCTATATAATTATGTCATAACTATTCTGTCATGAGTACAAAAAAAATTAAAACAAAAATAAACATAACCTGAAGAATTCTGTCCATCCTCACATTATTGATCCTCTGCCCTGACTTGAAATCATTTAATTATATATAATAAGCTAAAAAACCTAGCAGGTGAAAGTTTTACCCTAACGCATAATTGAACTTAATTAAGAAAGTGCCAAAATATCCTAACAGTATACAACAAAAGTCATACTGAGCGAAAATTCACATTTTCATAATTTAATCAAATTATCAGATATTACATAAATAATATTATATAGGCGTCAAAATAAATTTTTGAGTAGGCAAAAATTGCTTTATTTTCAAAATTACCCAGCGAAAAATCCTAAATAAATACTCAAAACATTCATAATCTTTATCTTTATAACATATAAAAGTTACGCGGTGAAAGTTTTATCAATACAAAATTTTTCTTATTTTCAGTAACGAAAATACAAATTTGATCAAAAAAATACTATAAACATAAAATTATTGAAATCAGAAATAGGGTAAAGGTTCCTTACAGTGAGACGAGCAAATTTTTCAATAGGTTCAACTGCCAAAAGCCGCTTTGCGATCTCCAAATCCAAGAATTTCTTCTCTCTCCGCACATTTTCTCTAATTTTTCTATTACCCTTTTCTTTTAGTCGAAATCAATAGGGAAAATTGATTGAAAATACTTATTTCATGACTTGGCTTATAATGGATTTATATTTTTTTAATAAAATAATAATATAATATTTAATATAATTACTTAATTTATTCAATTTTTAATAAAAAAATCATATAAATCTATTTGGGACTTTAAAAATAATAGAAAAATATTCATAAAATAACACATTTTATTTAAAAGACTGGTGAAATCAATTTGTAAAACAGACACCTAATGGTCCCAAAATCCTCATTTGTATTGACAGATGTCAATTTCTTAAAGATTTCCACCGGTGCTCAAAAATTATGAAAAATTCGTGGAATTAAAATAGAATAATATTTATCTTATGACGAAGATGATTTTTAATTTTTACTTGCAATAACTCCTGAAAAATTTATTTGTTTGAGTTATTACAATCTATCCACCTTAAAAAAAATATCATCTCTGAAATTTCCCTTAAGGATTCAGACATAAAATCTATATAAATCAAATATGTATGATCAAACTCAAATCAAATTAAAGTCAATTCAAAACTCGTCAAAAATCATACAATCAAGTAGTTCATTCTTTCACATGTCATTCAATTGTGCATTATATGCTATGCCATTCTATTGTTTAAATAAATTTCTTACCATTAAAACTTTCAGTTAGTTATTTGTCTTCTAAATACTGCAAATTATACACATATGACGTCACTAGAGTAGGTGCAGCTGGTCGTGGTTTAATAGCCTCCCTCTAACTATCACTGACAGCTCTGTCATCCGCCCTGTTGGTTGATCTTTCACAATATGCTCTTGACCCTATAGTCCTCAATCCTTCCATCTGTCTGGATTGTCCTACGTTGGAATCAATTCTTCCTTTGAGGACAATCTGCTACCTTATGTCCTTGCCATCCACAGCAAAAACATTATCCAGTTAGTAGGTAGCACTGACTCGAATATCGTCGACCACTATAAATATACTCACCATAACTGGCAGTAGATACTATCGATCCAGATCTCCTTGAATCATTATATATGTTTTTTTGTCATTATCTCTTTCTTTGTTTTGTTCATCTCTACCCCTCTTGCTAACATCATACCTGGAGCTCACCTCATACTCAGCCAAATCAGTCTCTATCAATCTGGCTCGCTCCACCAACTCAGAAAACTCCCGAATCCGCAAAAGTACTAGTAAATGTCTAAGCTCCTGTTGACCTCTAAAAAAATAATTGTCGGAGAACCCGACACCTTCGTTCGGACCAAACCGGACCAAGCCGGCAAACCCTATGATAGAAACTACACCAAAACTGCCCATGATCGCACAATTGTCGCCTCTCACAACATAAAAATGCTCTCTCATTCAGTTCTCTCTCACGCACACAGAAACGCTCTGAGAAACACGCACAAAGGAATACAGAAAGAAGAAACGGAAGCCCATATTGGCGCTCTCATTCGTCTCTAATTCAATCATATTATACTATAATATATATATCATATGATATTTGTATATATATAATATTATAATGTGTATATAATAAAATAAAATAAAATAAAAAGAGCGAGAGAGAGAAAAATAATTTGTAAGCAGGTGGGAGCAATTTGAAGGAAGTCCTGGAGTTGATCCGGTCCCCTGAAGCCCTCAGTCGTTGAGATTATCCTACCGAGGGAGCGCAGACTCTACTCTTCCAATCTCCTCGCCGTTGATTAGCTCTGGCCAAGTCGAGCCAAAGGGCAAATGCCCTCTTTACCTCCCGGCTTAGGGGAGGGGATGCTGGAAGGTTGCCGGATTTTTGAGGGGACCAAAAATATTTTTAAAATTAAATTAATTGCTTAAATTAGCAGGTTGTGCACATTAGAAGACTTGAAGATTCTTTTATGGGATCGATTCGCTCTCACAAATCTCCTCGCCGTCGATTTGATCCGGCTGAGTCAAGCACTCCCTTACCTCCCGGCATCGGGAAGGGGATGCCGGGAGGCTGCCGAAATTTAATTGAAAATTTTTGGACTTAGTGGATTTTGGAAAGCATAAATTTCATTGAAAATTAATTAAATTGTTCATGATTTAACCAATGAATAAAGATAATTAAATGATTAAGTTAAATTCCATTAAAAATTATAATCAACTTAATTAATTAATGAATTAAAATAAAATAAATGCAAGAATGAAATGTTTCTCCAATATCCATCCTATGTATAAATAATTAATCAAATGATGGCTCTCCAAAGTTCTCCAAACAATGAAATTCCCTCCAATAAACAACCTCAAAGTTTTTTTTAAAACCTTTCTGACAAGCGACAGCTCACACAATAGTTCTCTAACAGTGCAACTCTTCAAACAATTGAATAATTACAACTAAAAAAAAAGATACAAATCTTAAGTTGTGATTTAAAATCATTCAGATAAGCACTAATGAATGATTGGAAGACTCGTACTTAGCAAAGAACCTTGAACATCGCTTACCTATGAGTCATAGTTTAAAATCTCTAATGAATACTACAATCCGTACATTGTGGTTATATTGGTCAAAATGCTAATGTTAAATGTCTTGCAAGCAAAGCAAGAGAAGTGTAGTATGGTAAGAGCATACAATCTACACTTGTCAAAATGTAGATAATACACCAATCTTCTAAGACACAAGGCCGATGTATATGTATAGCAAGTGTAATGGTGCTCTTTAATTGGCTTGAAAACAGAAGTGACACATTTAGCTCCAAAAGAAATAATGTCAAGGTTGATGATATTCTTCGTATATGCCATATAAGAAGATGTGGCAATCCCTATCACATTCATCTGAGAATATTGGTCACACAAACATGACGTTATCGTCACACAAACACTTAAAAGAAAAAAAATAGATCAATGGCGTAGAGAGGCAGGGATAACACATCTTAAAATGGAATTTTCGGAGCCCATAGCTCCCTGTTCAACCCTTGTAGAAATCTATAACACTTTTTCTCAACAATAGGGATCAAGTGAGGATCATTCCTAGCAAGAGCAATAATTTCAGGCTCATACTGCATCATTGTCTTACATTCTTGCTCCACTTAATGAAAGCTCATTACATTTGTCGTTGGGTTGACGAAGGTATAAACGACATCCTGAACCATCAATAAATTCATCCTAAGTGATCTCAACATTGATCTTCCTTTGGAATTTCTCTCTCTATTGTCCATTATTTTTTTATTTTTAATGAATAACACCAGAGCTATCTAACTTCATTTATCAGAAATAAATAATATAAATAATTCTAGATTCAAAACATCAATATATACATCTATATTCAATTCTAAAAAATTATATACACTACTCAGGATCTATATAATTATGTCATAACTATTCTATCATAAGTACAAAAGAAAAATTAAAACAAAAAAGAATAGAATTTGAAAAATCTTGACCATCCTCATGTTTCTAATCATATGTTCTGACCTGAAATCATTTAATCATATATAAAGAGCTAAAAAGCCCAATAGGTTGTCAAAACCTATAACTAAATTCAAAGCACAGTAAATGACTAATATGCATGTCAGATATCAAATCATAACAGAAGTATTCATATGATCGTTGAATTAGTGCAAAAACAATAAAACTAATATGCAGTACTAGTAAAATTTATAAACGATAAAATAGTACAGTAAGAAAGCCAATAAATCAGTACGGGTGTCAAATATATAAAGAAATCTTCGTATCACTATTATCAATCTGTAGAGAGATTATATAAAATAGTAAAATCAAATCATCACTAAAGACTGTCAAAATCATATCAATGTAGTAAAATCATATAGAAATATATGCATATTATCCAGTTATTCTATATCAGTATCAAATTAGTATATTATGTATTTAGTATGTTGCATGCTTATTATATAGTGAATCAGTAGTATCAAATAATATCAGTATCTATATTTATAGCAGTAACAATAACAATCTAGTAGCAGTAGTAAAATAATGCAATAATAATAAATTTGTGCAGAGATAGGAATAATGTCTCAATAATATGTATTTCATTAGTCACACTAAACAAATAATAAGTCATGGCTATCACGGTGTTTTTCAGTATCGTATTAGTCTCAGCAAACGTTGGCTCAGTAAACAGTGTCGTCACTCTTTGCCCATCGACATAGTAAATATCTCCTAATAACTCTCAATTAATGTATCATGTGAATTAGTAGATGATAACATCAAACCATGGTATTTAAAGAAAAGCATGTCGGCACACCATCTTGTACAGGCCAATCAGTCTCCAACCAACAGGTCAATCAGTCTTTACTTATCTTTTACGCATATATTATTATCATAGTGCTATAACAATAGTCCAATCACATATCCATATTTATTTTCAATACATTGCAAGAAATAAAGCATAATTTAGCTTGATTCAGAAAGTGTCAAAATGTTCTAACAATAGACAACAAAAATCATATTGAGCAAAATTTTACATTTTTAGAATTTAACCAAATTATCATATATTGTATAAATTAATATTTTGAAGCTCAATTGAACTAAAATACTATTTTTAGATGCTAAAATAAATTTCTGAGTAGACAAAAATCACCACATTTGATAAATCACTTGATGAAAATTTTTAATAAATACTCAAAATATTTATGATCTCAATCTTTATAGCATATAAAAATTTACGCATTGAAAATTTTACTAATACCAAATTATCCTCGTTTTTTGATAATGGAAATACAAATTTAATCAGAAAATACAAAAAACACAACATTATATTGAAATCAGAAATAGGATAAAGTTTTCTTACAGCTAGACAAGCAAATTTCTCAACAAATCTGATTGCCAAAAATTGCTCTGCAATATCCAAATCCAAGAATTTCCTTTATCTCTCCTCACATTTTCTCTAATTTACCTACTACCCTTCTCTGTTAGCCGAAATCAATAGGGAAAATTGATTGAAAAGGCTTAGTTTATGACATGGCTTATAATGGATTTAGATTTTTATAATAAAATAATAAAATAATATTTAATATAATTACTTAGTTTATTCAATTTTCAATAGAAATTTCATATAAATTTATTTGAGACTTCAAAAATTATAGAAAATTTTTCATAAAATAATACATTTTATTTAAAAGACACTGGTGAAATTTGTTTGCAAAATGGATACTTGACGGTTCTAAAATTCTCATTTGTACAAACGGCTACCAATTTTTTAAGGATTTTTACCAATGTCCAAAAATTATGAAAAATTCGTTTAATTAAAATATATTAATATCTATCTTATGATGAAGACGGATTTTAAATTTTACTTATAATAACTCATGAAAAAATTTATTTGTCTGGATCATTACAATTAGTCATTATTTTCTTTTGAATTTTTTGGTTTATCCTGGTTTGTTATTTTGACTAATAGGGTGTCCTGGATATCACAACGACAGAAGTTGCTGATTACATAGTTGGTGGTGTTATGGCTTGCGACAGTTCACGCTTTGACTCGATAATAGAGAAACAGGTTCCTCTGGTTCTGAGTGTTGGAGCCTTGGACATGGTGAACTTTGGAGCTAGATCCACAGTGCCTAATTACTTTGATCAAAGGAAGATTCATATCCATAATGAACAGGTATTGTCTTGCTTAGTAAAAATCTTTTATTAGGTAATTATATTTGTTTGGAAACTAATTCAAGTTTAGAAATTAATTTGAAGTAGGAAAGTATTCATGTTCATGCATTTTCTTAAGAAATATAATTATGTCTATCTACTTATATGTTTGTGTAAGAAAAGCTTCTAGCTTACCTGTACCAAGTCCGGAATCCCTGCATGAAAAAATTCTTTCATTAATTCCATTCCAGCTGGTGTGACTGAAACATGTACTTTTTCCATTCCAGCTGGTGTGACTGAAACATGTACTTTGATTAGAAGATGTTTACTCTACAATTCAATCGTCCAGCCCATTCAAATCCTGCTGTTATTCTTTCTTCTAAATCATTGGAAAGTTGTTTATCCTCGCTGTTTTGTACAGTTGCTAAATTCGAAATAGAGTGAATATTAGGAGTGCGGAAAGTACATTTAGAATCAGAGTTGTATTTTTAGTTCCTTTTTTGTATTTGATCCTTTGTTGCCTGTAAAGATAGGTTTTGTATACACATGATGAAATAAGAAAACAACCTGTCATTCCCTCCCCTCCTGTTTCTGCATGGTATAGAGCAAAAGTGTTAATCCAATGCTAACCTGGCTGTGCCAATTTTATTTATTTATTTATTTCAGAGGCAACATCACAATCCACAAAGACGACTCAACCAAACGTGATTGAATCACTTTCCAACACTGATTAACTCTCATTGGTAATTTTCTAAGCTGGTCTTAGACTTGTTGAATGTATATTCATGGCAGATGAAAGATCTTGATGTGGAACAACATAGCTTAAGTTATTCTTAGGACTAGCTTATTATAGTTTGTTATAATATTTCTAGAATCTTCTTAGTAGTTTATATAAGCAAGATATTGTGAGGAGGGAAGGAGATGAATATTATGACATTTTGAAGCTTTTAAGTTTGAGTTTGTTCCTTATTTTATATCTCTTCTAGCATATTCAGTTCTTCCACCGATCCACTGCATCACATCCAATATGGGAAGATTAGACATATGCAACATATGCAACCTAAGATGCTGAAAATTCTACGGTCATGACATGCTTGGTGAATTACTTGAAAAAAGACATCAGCTTCGACTATATGTGTTTATTTATAGCTAAAAGAACTATGGCATAATGCTACCTAGATCTCCTACATGTGGGAAATTAGTCCCAATTATATGAGTGAAATTAAACTTGATGAAGTTTGTTAGGAAGAAGAAAATATCACGAAGTACTTCAATCCCTGAAGTGATTATGAAAATAAGTGGATCGAATCAATGACTAAGAACCGAGGATTACAATTAAAACCAAAAGATGATTGAAGATCACCATATGTATATCGATTGGGCACAAAGTCCTCTGTTAGTTAATGTGGATTTATATTTGTCCCCTTAGACAAATCTTTATCTCGGGTCTACAATGTACCCTTAGACGAAGCAATTCATAGATGAGACAAGGATCCTTCTGTTAGGTTGGGTCGACAACCTCCTCTGACTAAGTAAACTAGGGACCATGATGACCCGAGATGACGGAACTATGAGATCTTGATCGGGTTCATCATCACTGCCCCCATCATCTACTTTAAGTACAAGGTGGTGAAATCTCTAATTTTAAATATCAAATTTCAAATATCAAAGCTCACGCTGCTACTATATGTCGGATACTACATATTTGTTTGATGACTAGCCTTAATAGAAAGTTCTCTCTTATTATCGAGAGGGGTAATTAACTATAGGGACTTGTGCCTATAGGAAACCTGAACTTAGATCATAAAGTCCTCCCAAATGAGGGCGAAATATATGGGTGGTGTCTTATTCACAATCCAATTTGTCTTCTTAAAATTCGCATTGGAACTTGTTAAAACTCTCATTGACGACCAAAAGAAAAAAGAAAGGGGTCCCCGGAGAGATCAGGGTGCGAATTTTCGGAGCCCACAACAATTTAGAGTTGTCGCAACACAACTTATTAGTACACTTGAGCCTCATCTTAATTATAATATATACTGCAATCGTTGCCTCTTTTAACCATAAATTCAGAACATTCAACCTCTCTATATTTCTCATTTCTTCTGTTCCACCGTGTTTCACATCTTAACTTGTCAGAAGTACATTGCAAAAAATAGTAGAAACTCTTTTTTACAAGACAAGGAAAAAAATATGCAATGCTTAAACTCCGACATGTAAAAATGAGGGCGTCATCCCAAATTAATATGCATATGTTTGAACAAGTACCAAACAATTACTTCCCATATATAGAATTCAAAAAGGCGATTAATTTTGATTGGACAGGTCTAGGGAATTTTAATGGTCGAGGTATTAATAGAATCAGTAATTTGTCATTTTTGAGGGGTTTACGGTGTAAAACTTTTTCTTGGTAAAAATATTGATGCACTAGGTAAGCTGCTATAAATCTTTAAAATGGTTTTTCAGATTTAACAACGAGTTTAGACTGCTCTGTTGTCTCTTCTTACTCGCTAAAACCTTGTGACTGAAGTTCCATAACTTTGGAATGAGAATCATATATAAACAGGTGAATCTAACTGTGTTCATGCTTCTGCAGGTTTCACTCATGCGAACTACGGTAGATGAAAACAGGAAATTTGCCAAGTTTATAGCTGAGAAATTGAATAACTGCCACTCCAAAGTTTGTGTTTGCCTTCCAGAGAAAGGTGTCTCTGCTCTAGATGCACCAGGGAAACCATTTTATGACCCTGAAGCAACATATGCTCTTTTAAATGATTTAGATAGACTTATAGACAAAAACAAAAGCCGACAGGTAATAGGTTTTATTTAAACTTTCTTCTGAACCCATCCATCTAATCTTTACAAAGCAACTTCTACATTTTTTTTTTTTTAAAGCAACTTCTACATTTGATCAGACTATCACTCAATATTAGGTTTTAACTTGTAGGTGAAAATACTTCCATACCATATCAATGACCCCAAATTTGCAGATGCCTTGGTCGACTCATTCTTGGAGATGGATGTCAAGTTTTCCCACAGTACAGTTCCTCAGCAACAAAAAATTCCAGAACTGACACATATTATTGTAAATAAGGATGCATGCAGTCAATCAGAGGTTGACATAGATAACATAGCTCTTTTGCGAAGCCCAGTAGAGTTTCCTGATGCAAGACCAGGTTTTGATCTTCTTTTACACATAAGGCTTTCATTGTTTGCTATAGCTCCATTCAAATTTATTATCTAAAAGCCTTAACTATCTTCTTTATTATTTTGCATGATCAAATTATGTACCTTTATTATCATCATCATCATAAGCCGCCTTAACCTAATAATTTAACTTAATGAATTTTTATTTTGTATTCATTCATTTTGAGTATTGTATGAGTGTGGGCTCCGAAAATTTGCGTCCCGGCTCTCTGTGGCCCATTTATTTTTCTTTCGGGTCATTGAGGAGAGTTTTAATGAGTATATTCCGAGGCAAATTTTTAGAAGGCATATTGGGTTTTGGATAAGACATTACTCAGTGATTCCACCCTCATTTTGCAAGGACTTTATGATCTGAGTTCAAGTTTCCTATAGGCACAAGCCCCTATAGTTAATTACCCCTCCCACTAGAGAAAGAGAACTTTCGATTAAGACTAGTCGTCAAATAGATACGTAGTATCCGACGTATAGTAGCAGCTTATTTAGGTATTTAAAAGTTTAATATTTAAAATTAGAAATTCACCATTTTACACTTTAAGCGAGTGGTGGGGGAGTGATGGTAGACCCGATAAAGATCTCATGGTTCCTTCATCCCAGGTCATCATGGTCTCTGATCTACTTAGTCAGAGGAGGTAGTCAACCCAAACTAATTGAATGATCCTTGTCGGCAGTCATGGATTGCTTCATCCAATTGTACATTGTAGACTTGGGATGAATATTTATCTAAGGGGACAAATTTGAATCAACTTTAGCTAACAAAGAGTTTTATGCCCTATCGATTATATCATATTAATTTGTTACTCAATGATTTAGCAATTGTTGGGGAGCATATGGGCTCTGACAATGACTATAATATAATGGTGCCATACTGCCATTTGGCAGCAAAACCACATAGTTAGAGGGTCCCGGTCATAACCGTTCACCTATGGTGTCATTTGGTAGCGAATCCACCGATTAGAGGACATGTGCTACATTCTTACTAGGAAGAGATAGATTGCAAATGAATCTTAGTGATATTCTCGATTAGACATTTTCTCTTTGTGAGCTGAAGATAATTTCAAAATGTCTACTTCGGAAAACTGCTGTGGAGAGTGAATGGGTATTTTTGCCTTAAGCATTTAGGTGTTTTTATTTCAATTTTAAATATTTAGTTTTTGGGTGATTTTTTTGGAATTTTGGCTTTTTATGGGCATTTGAAAATTTTGATATGCTTTTTTTAAATATTTGTGATACCCTTCGGTTGAGATTTTCTATCAACACGGCCAGCATCGGGGTATTTGTGGGCTTTCTAATTTTTTTTGTTGAACCTTGTCAACTTTGTCTGCTTGCCGACAGAGGATCGAGTTCGTTGTCGGCTTTATACCTTTATTGGTGAATTTCTTTTGTTATAAACCTTGAAGGCCTAATATAGATGTATAAAATAAATATCTCGGTCGATGCTGCAACCTTATATTTGTATGATGGTTTGAACTATGTCGACTATTATCCATTCGTGTAGAAGGATTGGATTCGAACTTGGAATCATGTTTAGACTGCGCAGCATCCTCAAACGTCACGTGTGTACGTGCGGGTATTCATATTTTAATGCATTTTTCATGATGACATGTCTTATATTTTGTAATGTGTGCATGATGTGACTACATCGATGCGTATTTCATTGCATGGGAGGTTTCTATAATGTTCAATTACAACTAGTTTTGCAACTATAACTAGTTTAGCATGTGGTGATCATTTGGGAAATACTCAAGTTTTGTTTTTAAGGGCTTATAAATGCCTTATGTTCGCTTGCATGAATGTTGTGGATCCGGTGATGTGGCGTTGTGCTGCAGTTTATTTGCTACTTTATGCAGGTAGACTATCATGCACTAACAAATCTCCTGCAATTTTTCATAAATGGTTGTGTTTATCATAATAGAGTACACATTTTAGATATCTTGGATCTATTGTTCAGAGTGATGGTGAAATATATGGGAATATTATCAGCAGAATTCAAGTTGGATGGTTGAAGTGGAGGAATGCATCGGGCTTGTTGTGTGATAGAAAAGTACCCCTCAAACTTAAGGGTAAATTCTATAAGATGGTAATGAGGCCTGCAATGCTTTATGGTGCTGAATGTTGGCCATTAAAAGAGAAGCATAATACTAAGTTAAGTGTGGCAGAGATGAGGATGCTCAGCTGGATGAGTGGCTTTACCCTTAAAGATAGGATACAAAATGAGCATATACGTGAAAAGGTTGGAGTAGCTCCAGTAGAATATAAGATTAGAGAGAGTCGCCTTAGATGGTTTGGTCACATAAAACGGCGGCCTTCCAATGACCCGGTTAGGAGAGTAGAGGTATTAGATTTGACTTATGTTAGGAGAGTTAGAGGCAGACCTAAAAAGGCTTGATTAGAAAATATTAGGAGTGACTTTTCTTTATTAGATTTAAACGAGAATTTAACCTTTAATAAGACACAATGGAGAAAAAGGATTCATGTAGCCGACCCCACATAGTGGGATAAAGGCTTGATGTTGTTGTTGTTGTTGATTGTATTTATCATAAGATTGTTGCTTTTGCCTGCAGGCAGTGTATCGTGTTATGCAAGATTTGTTGAATTAGTTATAATTCAGTAATAGACGTTCAAGAGTCGTCAGCCGTCGTATGCTGGTGCAGCCTTGGTCTTCAATCCCACCATGTCAGAGAAAGGCATGTATGGATCTTTAGGGGTACCTGCTTGAAATATTTATAGTTTTTTTCCAGCAAGCACTGAGGTTTGTACACGGGTAATTAGGGTGTTCACTGCCACGCTAGAGAAAGGCAAGTATAGAGCCTACCCGCCTCGCTGCAAGTGTCGTACCATATTCAATCATATGTATCTTTCATATGTTAGACATAACAATTGGAGCACAATTTTTCTTCAACAATCAATCACCAAATAAGTTTTTGTGATACTCAATCAGTTGCTTTCTCCATATTAATAAAAATAATACATGAAGATCCTTTTCTTACTCTATATATTTTCATTAATTTCCTTAGCCTAAAACATGGTTTAAAATTGCGCAATACGAGGCACGCCTCAAGATCAATTTCATTCTTTTAAGCCTCAAAGCCTACGCAAAGAGAACACGGAATGAGGCGTACGCCTCAAGTTTACTGAGGGCGCCTCAAGGCGCGCCTCACCTCAATTTTTAGAGGCGTTCGCCTCTTAAAATTAAAAAAAAAAAATCAAAATCTAGCCTAATATTTATCTATTTGGTTCGACCCACCCTCACTCGCGTCTTCCATCATTTCCAAACCGAGGGTTTCTTCTCCTTCTTCGAGCGACATTTTCCCCTCTTCGTTCCATTCGACTGGCGTCGGCTTCCTTCCACCGAGAGTTGCTCTTCGCCTCTTGATTGGAGTTCTCTTCTACCGTGAGTTGGCTTGGAGTCTTCGACCGACCGCTTAATTTATTTATTTTTACTAACTGCTAAAATCTCTTCTTCTTCGTGGTTGGAGTTTAGGGCTTATTGACAAAGGTGAAATAGCTTTACTTCCTCTTTTTCTTTGCACTCAAATGTGATTTTTTTGTTTATACCATCGCATTTATCGACATCTTCCTTTGGTTTTTATTTATTTTTGGCAAAAAAAATTCTTTTAAATTTATGCAATCTTGCTTTGTTTTATACATACTATTTTCAATGTCATTTAATTGAATGGTTTTCATATATTGTACCTTTTTATATTTTATAAATTATTTACTCATTAGTTGTGGGCTCAAAAAATTCGGCCCTGGCCTCCGCCAGACTGTTGCTTTTCTTTTCGGGGGTTGAGATCTCCATAGTATCTTCATCGCCATATTCAACTGGCAAATGCTGTTATAGAGGCTGGAAACACTGGAGCCACCATCCAGTCATTGCAGTTTCTGAATTGAATTATTTGCTGATTTGTATACAACATGGGTGATTGAGATGCTGCAAATCACAGGGGCCTGTTGTATTCACTATTGATCTGACAGAGGGCTTTGTGCCCTATCGATCATATTCTATTGATTTATATCTCAAGGATTTGATGACACTAAGGAGTATATGTTGGAGGTTTCAATAATGCATTAGTGGCATCAAATCCTTGAGATATGTATCAATAGGATATGATCGATAGGGCACAAAGCCCTCATTACTTGCCACCAATTTTTCTATGTGGGATTATTGGACTTCTCTGCACCAGGATAAGTGACTAGCCAGAGATGGAAAGAGAAATCAGTCCCCAGCGGAGTCGCCAGGCAGTAGTATGGAAGAGGACGTGACTACCCGAGTGGATTCCTTTTTGGGATGAACTAACACATCATCCTTTGTGGTTGAAATTTTGGAGCCTACGTACATTTAGTAGTGATATGTGAGTCCTGCACCGACTCAGCCCGTCAACCAAGCATAGGATATGATCGATAGGGCACAAAGCCCTCATCACAGTCACCAATTTTTTTATGTGGGATGATTGGCTTTCTCTGCACCAAGCCAATAATTCCCCTTCTTGGAATGATCAAAGATGCACCAATACTTCCTTAACCACTTGAGGAAACTTTAATCTGAGTCACTTGAGTTCATCAAATGCCCGATCCTGGTGCAGAGAAGGCCAATCATCCTACATAGAAAAATTGGTGGCAAGTAATGAGGGTTTTGTGCCCTATCGATCATATTTTATTGATTAATATCTCAAGGACATTGAAAACTCCAACAGTAGCACCATTGCATGTAGATTGAGATGACAATATACCCCCGCACGTGCACTGTAGTTTGTATACACATAGGTATTCCGCGGACTGCGATCGAAATGAACTCCTTTGGTCAAGGTAGGTGAATGACGGGATCCCCTGAATGACTCTCCATTAGTATATAAAAAATTTATAATTTTATGTTTATGCAATCTTTTGATTTTGAGGCTTACGCCTCAAAACGCCTTGAGGCTTATGCCTCGCCTCACAAACGAAAAATGCCTCAATACACGATTACGCAATTTTAAACATTGGCTCAAAAGGCCCTTTCAAGCATAAAACCAAATTGATTCTTCAATATTAATGGAATTTTTTCGATTCTATCGTACTATAACTTGCCTATAACTTTATAGACGACTCATTAGCTTAATACTCTTATAATATGACAATAATGAATATTCCTTTATTCATTAACATTTGCTCTGAATGCTTCTTCTCAAATCATTTTGTATCCTTTTTAGTCTTGAAAACTCCAATTTTCTTCTCAAGCATCACCTATAATCATCCAAATATCAATGTGTATCTTATCTATCTAAAGTTTTATTTTTATGCATCTTCTTGAAAGTTAACTCCAATTTACGTTTCTTGAAATTAATCCATTGTGTACCTTATTATTTTGTCAATTCTGCCAACAAATACTTCATTCGAAAGACTCATTTAATAATGCTAAAATTATCATGTTCATCTCTTGTCTTTGTCTTTAACTAAGGCAATAGTTTCTTTAATTTACCCTTATTTATCTTCTTAAAAGTTAATTCTATTTTACTTTATTGAAATTCTGATTAAGTTCAATTCCCTTATAATTAATATCTCAGGGTTTTGACATGTACAACTAGTATTTGGTGTGTATCTTTCTTTTTTCTCCATGGGTCTTTTTTCTCTCCTATGACCTTATATTTCTCTTAATATCTGTCCATTTCCCTTAAAACTTTGTCCGATTTAATTTTATTGCCGTACTTCTAGGCAGGCTGCAAAGTTCTCGTTGTACTCTTTAAACTCTCATTGGTCATAATCTCTATCATATTGAGTTTCACTTCATCCAAATTGTAATGAAGGTCAATAATACTGAAAGGAACTGATAAATAAACAAGTTCGGTTACTCATGGACTCTATTCTCATCTTTCCTAACCCTCTTATTATTTGGTTGATGGCATTCTTACGGCAGTCTATTGAAGTTCTTGGTAGGTGAGAATAAGCTAGCATGATGTTAAAATGTACTGCCTTATACTCTGTAGTATGTACCCTCCCTCTCTCCATTCTATGGTGGTGAGGTCATATACAATTCTAATTATGAAGTTCTCTGCCTTGTTTGTTAATCATTATGCAGAAACTTTAAGGAGGACCCAAACTATATTAGAACAACTGAAGCAGCAGATAAATCAAGGTGTACCCATCATTGGTGCAGGAGCTGGAACTGGCATATCTGCAAAATTTGAAGAAGCTGGAGGTGTGGATCTGATAGTTGTATATAATTCTGGGCGATTCCGCATGGCCGGAAGAGGTTCTTTGGCAGGGCTATTACCTTTTGCTGATGCAAATGCAGTTGTACTTGACATGGCTAATGAAGTGTTGCCTGTAAGTTCATAGACCGTTTTAGAATTTGGAAGTATGAAATATATTAATTTTGCAAAATTATATAAAAAAGGAAAGATGAAAAAGAAGAAACTTTCAGCATTGCCAAACTGTTCCAGATCAGTGTAATTCTATTTTAAAAGAGGAAAAGCACCGGCTCAGGATATCCTGACCAACAATTTTTGGTCAGGATAAATCAAAATAATTGAATATACTTTAAGATCAATATGATATATATCAAAATTTATTTTTGCATATTCAATAATTTTGAGACTCATACTAATCAAAATTTAGTTAGAATATCATAATCCAAAATATTTCCTTTAAAAAAGGAAACTAATTAACTTCGCTTCCTCCCCAAATCCCCGACCCCCTCAACAGGTGGTCAAGAGAGTACCAGTTCTTGCTGGAGTGTGTGCCACTGATCCATTTCGTCGAATGGACTATTTTCTGAAGCAGCTAGAAGCAACTGGATTTTCTGGGGTTCAGAATTTTCCAACGGTTGGACTGTTTGATGGTAACTTCCGCCAAAATCTGGAAGAGACAGGAATGGGCTATGGGTAAGTGGTTTCAGAATTATCTTTTCCTTCAAAGTTATATATTATTATTTCAATTATTGGACTATCAAAAAAAAAAAACTTATCTAGATTGGAGACCGAAATGATCAACAAAGCTCATAGAATTGGTCTCTTAACAACCCCTTATGCATTCAACGAAGATGAAGCTACTTGGATGGCTAAGGCTGGTGCTAATATTATTGTTGCGCACATGGGTCTTACTACTGCTGGATCAATTGGTGCAAAAACTGCTCTTACATTGGAGGAAAGTGTCAACCGTGTTCAAGCCATTGCAGATGCTGCTGTTGCCATAAATCCTCATGTTATTATTCTCTGCCATGGAGGTAAACTTCTAACCATGCGCTTATAAATTCACCTAGCCGTTCTTTGCATTGTTTAATATTGCGTGCAAAATACTTATATATATATATAATGTATTTCTGCACAATCTAATAGGATTGTAATAAAATAAGAGAGAATTAGCAGGCGAAATTTTTATCACAGAGGTAATAGGAGTGTGTTTGGTGAACGCAAGAATCTTTAATAGCTGATGAATAAATTTAGACCATGATAAGACAATGTCATGTAATCTATTCAGAGATTTATGCACATATCATATCGTTTAAAAGCTTCCTTATTTATGAAACTGATACCTAGATCTTTAAAATTAGAACCCTAGTGTATTTGAGCGTCCGAAAATAAAGTCATTAAGAATTTAATAGAACAACAAAAAGCCTTTATCTCACTGTGGGATTGACTACATGAATCCTTTTATCCATTGTGTTCTGTTAAGTCAAATTTTAATCTAAATTTAATAAAGAAATGTCATTTCTAATATTTTCTAACCAAGTTTTTTTAATTTTACATCTACTTTTTCTAACATAAGTCAAATCTAATGCATTTACTTTCCTAGCCGGATCATCGGAAGGTTGCCGTTTTATATGACAAAACCATCTAAGGCGACTCTCTCTCTTTATCTCTCTCTCTCTCTCTCTCTCTCTCTCTAATCCTATCTTCCACTAGAGCTACTTCAACCCTTTCACGTATATGCTCATTTCATATAATGTCTCTAAGAGTAAAGTCACTCATCCATTTGAGCATCCTCATCTCTACAACACTTAACTTAATATTATGCTTCTCTTTTAATGGCCAACATTCTGCACCATAAAGTATTGCAAGTCTCACCACCATCTTATAGAAATTTTCCTTAAGTTTGAGATGGACTTTTCCATCACACAACAAGCCCGATGCATTCCCTACTTCAACCATCCAACTTAAATTATACTAATAATGTCCACATCTATTTCAACATCACTCTCAACAATAGACCCAAGATATCTAAAACGTGTACTCTTATTAATGACTTGATCGGCCAAACTCACAATCCTCTCACTAGATCTATTATTATTAAAATTATACTCCATGTATTCAGTTTTAGATCTACTCAAATGAAAGCCTTTAAACTTTAAGGTTAACCTCCATAATTCAAGTTTACCTTCATCTCTAATCTCATCAACAAGAAGAATATCATCAGTAAAAAACATACACCATGGTACAACCTCTTGCTTATGTTTAGTGAGAACATCCATGAATAAAGCAAAATGATATGGGCTTAAGCCTGATCCTTGATGTAATTTGATGTAATCCTACTGAAATAAAAAAATATTTGGTCAAACCACCTTGTGTTTTAACACAAGTAAAGGCTCTTGCATACATAGGTTCCAATAAGAATTTATTAAAATAAAAAATATATAATTTGCGGTTTTATTGTGCTATATGAGATTTGACTCTTTGTCACCTAATACTCTTTCTATTTTTCACCATATAATACTATTTGTTATAAATTATTCTCTATTTTTTTAGTAGATCTTTTATCTTTTATTTGAACTACACTTGATTCTCTAATAGTTTTTATTTATAAAGGAGATAAAAATCACTTTCTTTGGTACAAGAAAAAAAAAAACATTCATTGATCATTGGTGATTATTTGTTGCCATAGATATAGCAAAATAATCTAATTAAAAATTCTATAATACTCGTCTATACTCATATAAAATTTGTTTGGTAATTTAATGCATGGAGCTAAATTTCTTAGCTGATGAACAAATAGTGAATTTTATAATGGTTAATTACATTTTGTTTTGTTACAGGCCCTATTTCAGGTCCTCGGGAAGCTGAATATATACTGAAGAGCACAAAGGGAGTCCATGGATTTTATGGTGCATCTAGCATGGAGAGGTTGCCCGTAGAACATGCTATTACAGACACAGTGAAGGAGTACAAATCCATATCCATAAAGAGAGACTAATACATAATCCAGCAGTATGCATCTCTTCGTTGCCCGTTAAATTTTACAATTTATCACTCGAGCGAGCTGAATTTATACAAATAATTAGCTCCAATTCGTGCTCTGATCGAATTGTCTTTTGTTTTTTTTCGCGAAAGTATATTATTGTGAGGATCACTTATTGTTCTTATAAGTGGATCTGGCTTTGCTCACATTCCTGCTGAGTTAATAATGCATGCATTAAACTATCGTTGAAGCACATGAAACTATGATCACAAGAAAATATACTGAGGGTATTCTGACTTGCATGTAATTAAAATAGTTATTAATTAGTTGATGACAATCTCTCATCTAAAGAAAAACTCATAATTTTAAGGATTATCTTGAACAAATGTAAGCTCTCTTTATAGGAAAATTATTAGGTGTGAAGATTGGACGCAAAGATGCATCTATATCCAGATATCCACTTAAAATTTGACAATGTTGAATGCATTTTAATTGCACCTTTTTGTGTGTTTTACCTACACTTTAGTTGCACTTTAATTATACTTTGATTGTTCTTTTATTGAGTTTTACCTGCTCTTTTGTTACATTTTTTTATTGCAATTTTACTGTACTTTGACTATGTTTTTGGTGCACTTGACTTAAAATTTCATCGACACATTAAATATATAAATTAAAAAATAAATACAACGTGTCCACTTTTAAGTGGATGACTGGACGTATCTCCGATATCCACACCTAATAATTTTCCCTCTTTATAAGAAAAAAAAAAAATGCATTCATGTTTTCATTATAAAAATGTACGTCCTAAGATCAATTTAAAAAAGAAAAAAAAAATTCGTATACTCCATTTCACAACAAAATATCCAACTGGTAAAGCAAAATTCTCTTAAAATTTCAAAATCCCTCAACAAGGTTTATATAGCAATCAGCCAAATAAAAACCCAAGGCTCGCCCATCCCTTCAATAAATAACATAAAAAAAAATAAAAAACTATCCTAAGAAAGACCTAAAATACAAAAAAAAAAGTGCGTTTATATGATAATCTAGTCTACTAGTCTAGTATAGAAAATGCCGATGAAGCACCCAGCGAAGCATAATTATTAATTAATATGGCTGCTTCCCCTATAGGATAACTCACTGAACATCCATCTGTATTCTGCATCGAATATTTTAAAATTATAACCATAAAAATAATAAATAGAATCCAATAACATTAACGAAAAGCAATGGAGAGTAATTGATTTTTCTATTACCTTTTTTTTTTTGGTACTGAGAGGGGTTGGTTCTACACAGCCATTTTCATCTCCATCTCGGGATGAGGATCATAACCAACAAGAGTGAAATCGGCTGCAATGAAAGAATCAATATCCTTCTTCTCAGGATTAATCTTTAGAATCTGCGTTGCATTTGAAAAGCCATTGAAGATATTAATAATGAAACTTCAAATAAAATTCCATGCTGCTATAAATATATAGATGCTTACAGGAAATGGTTTAGGTTGCCTTTGAAGCTGCTCTCGTAATGGCCTTACATGGGTCTTATAGACACGGGCATCTCCAATGGTGTAAGTAAAATCCCCAGGTACGAGATCTGCCCATTCAAATAAAACAGCAAAAAGTGGTAGAGAAATTAAATTCAATAAAAAAAAATGAAACGAACCCTCATTAATTACTTCCACACTAAACACGTTCTTCATATGGTTAACTAAAAAAAAATGCTTATATCTAAGGAGTTGGTTAGGATATATATACCACAAACTTGCGCAATAATATATATCAGAAGAGAATAGGAAGCAATGTTGAATGGCACAGCAAGGCCCATATCAGCAGAGCTCTCGTAGATTTGACATGAAAGTTCTCCATTCTCCACATAGAACTGGAAAAAAATAAAATAAAATTCCAAAGAAAAATAAATCAGCTTCATTAGCAACAACAGTCTTATTCGATTCAGTTATATGAATTCTTTTTCGTTCATTTTTTTCTTGTAACGAATGTATTTGAGGAGTTCAAGGTAGGATCAATCTTTTGTCTAACTTCTAATCATTTTGGCTTGGGATTTAAGACTATAGACTTTTCACTTAAATTGCATCTTCCTTCCATATTCATGATCCATGAACTCATCCATTATTTCATTATCAAAAGGTTCTGTTGTCCTCACTTTAAAATTTAAAAAAAAAAATGGAATTTACGTATGGAATTTGTTATTTTTCATGATAGAATGGCATGATGCAAGCACAAAGAAAAAATATACAACTATAAATTATTATTAACTTGGTGACTCATACTTGAGGCAATAAAAGGAAATGTATTTGGGATGATTTAGATTGCTTAATTCTACATCAAAAACATACATGGCAGTTGAGAATAATGGACCTTGCAGTGCACGCCACACTTTTGCACCACACAGCAAAGCTACTATATTTATCAAACGAAAGATAATTATGTTAAAACACAACAAATGTTTGAAGTAAAAATAGTAGCAAAGTTCACTTAAACTACCCTTTGTTTGATCACTTTCTGAAAAAAGAAAAGTGGATAAACGAAGCAGAGAACACATATAAAACAATAAAAAATCAATTTCTGAAGAAAACTAACTTGTGAAAACATCTGACAAGGTCGACGAGACATTTCTTTGAGATCAAAAGGATTCCAGGCTGATAGAATAATCCGTCGATCATTTGGCTTTTTCTTTATTTTATCAATGACATCTAACAGTTGGTCAAACCCTTTCCCAGTATAATCCGTATGCATGTCAATATATCTGTTAAAACACTATCATCATCAACAACTTCCAAGTTGAAGAAGAAAGAAGTAGAAAATCTAAAATATTTCAGCTTACTCAGCGCCTAAGTGTCTCCACTGAAAGCCATAGATAGGTCCTGAGTCACCTTTTTCTCTACGAGCTAGACCAACACTAGAAAAGAAACAAAATTGAAAAAAAAATTGCAAAAACAACAAATTTTCAAAGAAGACACTATTAGTAAAGCAGACATGATATAAGATTAAAAAACACCTGTCAAGAAAATCTCTTGAAGCATTCCCATCCCATAGGCATAGTTCTCTTGACTGAAGAACCTGTTCACATACAAAGTGCACGTAAATAATCTTTAATTATTGATCAATTAAATAAATGTTTAGTTTACTGCATTGGAAAGAAGTTCCAACTTTTTTTAACTTGAGCCTGTTCATCAACTTCTTTTAACTTACACCTTTTATAATGGTGAATGTATATTTATATTTAATAGAACTCATGGGAAAAAAATTTGTGTATACTCACAGGCATCTTTCTACGCAAACATTCTATCGATACATCCATCCACTTAACTATCCTTGCATGAATTAAAATGCTCTGAAGCACAAATATGCTTGAAGAAATATATCTACAATTACATCTCAGTCTATGCATGCATAACCACAGATGTTAATAGGCATACATGAGATAAACCCACAAATATACTTATATACCTATGCACAGAAGTAGAATCATAACAACATTTATGCGGTCAAAAGAACAATTGGGGCGTATTCCCATAACAGCATCATCTGGAATATTTCCATAAAAAAGACGCACATTAAAAATTCAACTATAAAGCTAGCATTTGTAGATTTTAAAAAGGAACAATTTGTTGAAATCTTCCATTTTTAGCAAAAAATAGGGGCTATAAAGAAATTGATGCAAAGTCTAAGACCAGCTTCTTTGAAGAACCCTACCTCAAACTTCTAGTTGTATGGATATCGTAGTCAAGTTTCAGTACAAATAACAAATAAGTTCAACCACACCAATAAGCAATTTTAGAGAGCTAATGCTAGAGGTTTCTGCACCAGCATGGACTTACACAAGGATTATAAATGAAAGTTGGATACTATTAACATATAACAATCAGAAGAAAACATCAGTGTCTGCATTCCATGTTTAAAGAAAAAGGACCATAGTATTAGGGAAGAGTGTCACTAGTCATCATTTACAGGTGTGCATGCATAATCATATGATGCATAGGCATGGTAATGGGAAAACTGATTTAATTGAGATGACTATTAAATATGATGGAAAGAAGAAAAAACTATTAGTGAAAAATGATACCTTGGCATTTGTTGAACCACTTACGAACCACAGTAATTCTTCAACAACAACGGACCAAAGTACTCTCTGTGAAACCACTTCTAACAAATCAACATTGCTCACAATAACAAAATCTTATCATGCGCAATTGCTACGTCACACAGTAAAGCATCATGAAGCAAAATATATAACACAAAATGGAAAGAATGCAGATTAAAACAAAATAAAGGTAGCCAATTAGATGAAGCTATATATAGCCACTGAGTAGATGATTCTTTTTCCTTTTCCTTTTCATGGCATAGGAGTTGACACAACACACTTTACCATCGTTGGACCTAACAGGGAGGTGGTTAGGTAAAGAGATCTACTTTTCAATAGACTAAATATAAAATGAAACCCAGAATCATATTTTTTAAAAGAACACTTTAAATGAACTAGTTATACAAAAAGTATTTTTTTCACTTGAAAATTATAATCATCAACAACTTTGAAAGGAAGATGGTCAACTAAAATAATATTTCATTTTTCTTGATACACTAAAAGTATAAAACTTAATTCATTAACTAATTTTGTTAATTTCAATAATTATAACCACTTCTTCATGTTATGTCTCATAAATCATAATTCTTAAAATCAAACCTATAATCTTAATTTTTAAAACATAAGACTTTGAATGAATTAGTTAAACAAAAACTATTCTTTCACTAGGAAATTCTAATCATCAACAACATTGAAATGAAGACAGTCAACTAAAATGATAATTCATTTTTCATGATACAATAAAACTAAATTATTAATTGATTTTGCTAATTTCAATGGTTATAATCACTTCTTTATGTTGCATCTCATAAATCTGCACAGATACCTACTTTAACTACATTGTGGTTAAATCCAATATGATTTTGAAAAACACAATGAAAGGGCCTCACATGCCAGACCCCAAATAAATTCAAGATCCAACGGGGTTGTCTTGGTTGCAACAAGGAAACTAATCCTATTTATCTCTCAGTTGCTTATACAATGTAATGGCAAATTTCTTAAGTTAGCGAAGTAGTACCTTGGTAGTAAGAAGTGGAAAAGATCTTCTCAAATTGAATCGCATCTGGAGGGAAAAAAAAGGAATTGAATTGCATCTTGAGAGAAAAAAACAGAACCCTTTTTTTTTTTTGGTCAAAATCTTGTGATGAGAAATCAAAGTGATTAAATAACAAGCATAAGATGTTATATAACTACCTGACAACTGAACTTTGATAGTGTCTCTATCCCCATTCTACCACTCTTTGTAGCACCATGTGATATGATATCTTCCACAAGCCTAAGATAAGTGTACTCCTCATGCTGCTCAAATATCATCTTAGGAAGAAACGAGAATTGTTGGATTTCAAATTTATCCTTGCATGAATCTCCATCAGTTGCTTGACCATCATACTGAATCTGGGATTGACTTGACTGACTCCTAACACGTACATATGTCACAAAAGAATATCTAATGTTATTCTCTACCAATGGAAAAGATGAGAACCAAGGCTGAAACACTGAAACATCAACTGCTGGGATGAATGTGTCACATTCAATACTTGCTTCTATGTCTGTGAGATGGATGGCATCACATCCGGGTGCATTCAACACATCCCTGCAACAAAGTCAAGAATATTGATTCCCTTACAACTAAAATCTTGAAACAACAAAGAGCTCACCTCAGTATGTGGCCACCACCAATCACAAACACTTTCTCAGTGGAGAAACAATAAGGGGAGGAAGCTAACAGATCTAAGGCAGAGCTCATGTTGCTGCATATAACAACATTTTCCACTGTGGCAATATCAAGGCTTCCAGAACGGGTCAATACAACATTCAAACGACCTGGCAAAGGTCTTTTCTCGATAGGAATACTTTCCCATGTCCTCCGACCCATAATCACTGCATTCTTTTTGGTGGGATCTGATGTACTCATCGTGAGCTCCTTGAAAAATTTGAGATCAGATGGAAGCTTCCATGGCAACTTACCATCTTTGCCTATGCCCATTTCCCTAGTAGCAGCAACAACAACTTCAAAAGTCCTTGGAGGATCATTTTTTGCAATGCCATTAGGTATGTTTCCAAGTATCTTATCAGCCATCACAGCAGCACTGTGGCAATATTGACAGCTTGAAATGCTTCTGAATGTTCCAATTACAACAGAATGCCTCTCCTGTACAAAACCAAGGGCCTCAACTATTTATGAAAATGATAAAACCTGAACTTGAAAGATTAAAAAAAAAGAGATAAATTAACCATGAGAACTGAAAATCAGAAGACTAAATTATTTGACAGTGAATTAAGTAAATCCTGAGAAGGAAAAAATCGTAAAAGTGCAGCTGATGCCACATGCTAGGAAAAAGAAGCATGTTAAAGGGAACATATGTGTTTTGAACCACCTTGAAAGGAATGATCACTGAGCTGAATATCCTGAACGTCAACATCTGAACCAAATACTAAATACAATCAAACAAGCATGATAAAAAGAACAGTGCCGCCGTAACAAATTCACCAAAAGCTCAATTAGATGGATAGAACCAAAACAAGTTGAAATAGAAAGGGCCAACAGGATATAGAATGATGAAGTTTCCCGAAAAAAAAACCCTGAAAGGATTGTAAATGCCACAATAACATATAAATCAAAATCATCGCTTAACAGCGGATAGCAATGGAAACAAAAATTAGCGAATTCCACTCTAAAAATTTGCTTTAGGAAATGTGATTGTAAGAAACTTTTTTAATGATGTTTCAATAATAATAAAAATGTTTCAACATTTTGTCAGTTTTGTGTGTTTAGAATTCTAAGCAGAAGAAAAAAGAAGAACCTTTGAATAAGGATAATTGTCGGATTTTGGCATTATTTAGTTCAAATCCTGCCAAATAGCAAAATGAAAAATATAAACCCTGCAGAAAATTAAATCCCATTCCTTCTCCGTTTTCCCTTAAGGGGCTGTTTGGTATCGGATTTATGTTGGGATTTAAGTCGGATTTACGCTAAATCCAGCCAAACGGTTTTTGTGAGCGCGTTAAATCCCGGTATTTCATAAATCCCGAATTTAGGGATTTAAGGCTTAAATCCCGGATTTACTAAATCCCTCGGTTCTGTGGATTTAACGGGATTTAGCCTAATAAGCGCGCGAAAGGGAGAAAGTTACCTTCACAGCTAGCGAGCTCCTGTTCTTGCTTCCGATCAAAATGTCGTAATTTCCGATCGGACAGGGGGGACAGACGTAGAAGCAGCGAAGTCGAATAGCCAGGAGGAAGGAGCCTACGAAGCGACGCGTGCAATCTATACACCTCCTGCAAAGCAACGAAGCCGAGCAGCAAGGACGAAAAGAGAAGATGAAAGGCAAACCTAGACGCCTTATGTTATTATTGATTAACTTAATTAATAATTAATAAGTACTTTGTACATAATATGTTATTAAATTCATAACACATTAAATTTTATTTTAAATTATACATTTATTTTTAAATTACTTTCTTCACATTTAAATCCCTAACTATCATAAATCTTGAAATATGTACCAAACAGTTTTTCAGAATTTAACAGGATTTAACATTTGACATACCAAACAATTTCTCTTGCATTATAACTATTGTTATTGTATTCATCTTATAGTAATTGTATTATATTATAAATGTTGTGATGTTGTGTTCAATCTCTCATAATCATAATCTACTATTTTATAATTATTGGGATTTAGATGTGCTATATTTATTATACTATTATGTTAAATCTCTTATAATTTATTATGTTGTTAGTATTGTTATAATATGTTATAATCCATGTTGGAATTTCATTCAAACCTTAAATAATATTTGAAGCTTATTCAATCATTCTTCGAACCTTGTTTGATCAATGTTCGTACCATACATGAACTTTGTTTTCTCCACATTCAAATTTCATTGAAACCTTACACGAATAATATTTGAAGCTTATTCAATCATTATTGAAATCTTGTTAGAACCATATTTATACAATGATTGAAAAATAATGGCATAATATTCAAATCTTGCTCTTAACTTTGTTCAATCATGTTCAAATAAGCTTCAAACCTTATTCAAATAAGACTCCATTCATGTTCAAACATGAACCCAAACTTTACTGCTATATGGTTCTACCCTCGTTCGAATCATGTTAGGAGCTTATTCGGACCAAATTTGATAGTAACAGATGGTAAATAAGTACTTTGGGTATTAAAAGCAAAAGTGTTTTGGTCTGAAATAAACTTTCATGCATAAATCTCCAATTTTTACTATTATGAGGCACATAAAATCAAACCTCCCAATTAAAAATATGTTCTCATAGCCCAATCAAATGGGTTGAATCAGCTTTTTCATATCTAAAAATTGAAAGGAAAAATTTAACAATAAAGTTTCAGCAAGAAATTTATCATGAATTAGACACTTAAGTACTCAAAACAATCAGAATCTTCCAATCAAATTCTCTCATTACACTGATGGAAACAAATCACAGTATGGGAAATTATAATAATAATTAAAAAAAAAAACATATCTCAGTCTCAAACAAATAAATGTTTAATAAGGAACAAACAGAAATCTTTGTGTATAATAAAAGAGAGTGAAATATGATAAAGACAGGAATCATTTTGTTCTTCACTCCATCTCTTAAATCTCCTCTCTCTTTGAGTTGGCGATAGAAAGAAAAGCCCCTTCTATCACCTGTCAGAAACCATTTTCTCTTAACAAATCATTAGTGATCAAAAGCAAAACTTCCTCTTCTGCAAAAAACATATGAATAAGTATACAGTAAGAGACATGGCAACAATCAAATGAAGAGAACAAAGCCAAAATTATAAATGGAGCTTCTACTAACCCGGAATTTAGCCTCTTCCTGAAAATCAATGTATGCCAACAGTTCATCTTGCCTCATAAGAGCTTGATGCAAAGCCTATTCAAGTTCAAAAAAAAATGTAAGATACGGCTTAAGGAGACTCAAAAATCTCCATCGTTTTGAGATTCAGACACGTCAATGAATCTAATTATACTGCCATTGAAAAAACTTGATTCTACAGTTTAGATGGCTTCAGTTGTAACCAATCTGAAGCCAATTAATATTTTCGATTTTGCTAATTTCAACAAAGTTTCGGGCAAAACTCAGACTCCTACTCAAAATTGATAGCTATTGTATGAAAGTTTATTATTATAACTCAAAATCTTGAAGGTCCACAAAAATTCTATCCTTTGAGCTCCATTAAATTTCAAGTATTGAAAATTGAGGCATATTTAGATAACTCTTTGTTTCAACTCTTTTGTAAGCCTAATTACTCTACTAATTCACCATAATCAAATATTAAGACCTTGCATTATACCTGTTTTGTGGCAATAAGTTCAGCTTCTAATGCATCAACACGGCGGACGGCAGCATTGAGTAGTTCTTCCTTCTCATGAGGCATTTCTGATGGTTTTGATTGAAGAATATCAATCTTCTCTTCCAGTTCACCAAGCCTCTTCAAAACAGATGACAGGAGGTCAGCATCTTTGAGTCCAGGAGCAGGCGATGGAGGCTGGAACTCTTTGGAGGTAGAATCCCGAAATAATGCTGCATCATGCCAATCTGATTCAGGAGTTTCTTCCTGAGGCTGCTTTGTCACACGGCTGATAACCATAAAGAGCAATGTATATAGGGTCATTACATATGCAAGTATCTGCATTTTAAATCCTTCCGAATACTTCTTCACATCAACCAAAATAGCTGATGAGCCTGCACCAAGGAAAAGTTTTTCATTATTTTCTTAACGAATATGGAGATATGGATTGAAAACTGTACAATAATCTTTGCCTATAGATGAAAACTATTAGATAGAATAAGGAAATCTCAGCTCAGACCTCAGACAAAAGAGGATGGTTACATTAGTCTGGGAAGCATGGAACACTAGACTCATTCAACTCATTAAGCCAATAGTTCCTCTTGCCTCTATTATACTTAAATAGCCTAATTACTCTATGGTATTCTTTCAGCTTCAACTTGTTGCCTCAGATTTTTCAATCATCTTCACATCACTAATTAATTAAATATTACCATATCGATACAATATGTGCAGCTTTAGCAGTCATGCGTGTATAGACAAAAAAAAAAGTGTAACTGCCTTTGTGTAGTCACATTGCCTTGATCAAAGGCATTAATACGACATCTAACAAATCCCAGGATGAACCCCAGCCCATCGAGAGCAGGACAAAAATAAAAGAAAAGAAAAGAGATTTCACTAAGCTCCTCGAACAGAGAAGTTTAATTAAGAAAAAAGAAAGATCACGTGCAGTAGATTATTGAAAAGTAAGAAAGATTCAAAGGATTGTCCAGGCTCTTAAACGTGACAAAGAAATTGAAATTGCTACGATTGTTGCTCCAATCAAGAAGCTAAATCAAAAGAGGTCAAAAGTTCTTCAACTAAGGTTCTTTTCTGTATAGAATTTTGTTTTCTGTTTCTCCTCTCTTGAGTTTTAGCTTTTCTTTATCGATAATTAAGTAATGGAATAGTTATGATTGGGACATTATATTATAGTTCTATAAAATTCAAACTACACACATTTCGATCATTCTATCAGCTTATATTAGTTTCACAACAGTTTCCTAAACCCTAAACAATCACAGCTCTTAAAAGCATTTTAGATGATTTTACCAAATAACTGCTTTATTCAACAGGGCAATGCCACAAAACGGTATATCGCATAGCACAACTGAAGACAAGAAGGACATCAGAGCCTAAAAAATTACCAATAGCAAGAAAGTAGCTGTACAAGACACCATTTTGCTGAAATATTACGCATACAAGTTTCTAGCAAGGATTCTAACTTTGCTTCAATTTGGAAAGGTGGTTCGGTTAAAATTAACACCATAGCAAACTACCTGCTGCAAAATTGCCCGGCTACTTCAAAAGTATAATTATGAAGCATACTATATTAGCAAATAAAGAACATGGAGCATGGACTAGGGGCACTTTTTTTATGTTTATAGTTCAATACAAAGCTTACTTCTACGCCTTGAAAATGCTTCAATTTCACTTTACAAACCTTTTGACTCAGATTTCCTCCTGCTCGTGTTCTCTTTCTTCCATTCTGCATCGACAGCCTTGTCAACTGTCAAGATACGTTCAGGCTCCGAGGATTCCACGGGAAGTATGCACTTCCCAACAACTTTTGACTGAAAAAAGACATTTTTCATCATGATCAGGAATCCATAACATGATATAAATAAAAAATTTAAAAAATAATAATGAAAAAAACTTTCAAACTTATTACACTAGTTTTGAATGACTAAAGTTTGATTGAATATGTTTACAAGGCTTAAGAAGCTCTTAGAAAAGGATTTTTTTTTACCAGCATAATATGACAACTTCTGCTCAAAAAGTTATTTGGTGCCTTTTCTGTACATAAACAACTCTATGGAACAAACGTGATAATGCAATGGGGAAGTAGGGCATATTTTTCCTAACATGAAGGAATTACATAAAAAAATCACAAAATTCAAATTAAATGTTAGAAGGCATAATGAACTACGTTTTTACTCGATTGTTATATTAGGACAAGCATATAGGTAATCTTATATATGCAAGAGAAGAGAACATTATAAAAAATTATTAAAAGATAACATCCTCAATAATAAGGAAATATTGTAATAATAAACTGCAAATTATTATAATAAATATTCAGCAATTTGATAACGAAATAGAAAACTCAAAGTAGCATAGAAGATGCTAACTTGAGTTTGAAAATAATAACTTGAGTTTGAAAATAATAGTGACCATATATGAATTAGTAAGAGGTTTTGTTTTTATTGTTGTTACTCTTGTTGCCCAAAGATTGTTAGCATCTCAAGATAAGTATGATTGATCCATCATAGATAAAAGTGCCAATCACAAGCAAATAGTCGACAACGAGATTCATGTAAGAGAAGTCATGAGTACCCTCATTGAATAAAGTATCACTTGAGAGAGTCAACAGAGGTTAATGATAGGAGAAATTATTAGGTGCGGAGTGTGGAGTGCGTCCGGAGACAAATAAAAATGCGACACGTCACCTCATTGGTGGGTACCCAGCTCGGTACCCGCACTTGGTATTGCTGGGTACCCAGTGCTTGTGCGGACGGTTCTCCCATTCACTCCGCACTTAATAATTTCTCTAATGATAGAGTGTATTCGGGTTGAAGGCAAAAGTTAGTAGCACAATTATCATTAAAGAGTAGAGGAGATTGTTGAGGTAGATTTTAGTGATGGATGTGTCCAAGACTATAAGGAAGAGATTGTGGGCAGATAGTGTGATTGATCTGGCAATAATGCTAATCAAACAAACAAAAACCTCCAAGGAAGGAGACGCAGTTAAATCTCCTTGGGGAGAAAACACGAGATGCAGGACTGGCTACAACAAAAGCAGGTGAAAAATTAAAGTTGGCAAAGTGTTTTGTACTTGATGCTAACTCGAGCAAAGGAGGTTGGGGTCATGCTTTCCACTTAGTTCAATGGAAGTAAGGATTTTTTTCCCCCTTAAAAGAGACAACAATATTTTGTAGAGAAGGTTTGGCAATGACATACCTAAGGTAGACTGACAATGAGTTTGAGGTAGATTGATGGGTGGATTATGTTTGCTTATGTGGATCTTCATAGTTCATAGTGATGGATAGAGTAAGAGTGATGACAGCTTGAGTTGGTAAAATTAATATTGGGAGAGAGAATCGGGATGTGTGGCTTCTTAGCAAAGTGGTTGCAGCTATACAGAAACAAGGGAGAAATGATAATGGTTGTAGAATTTCGGTTGACTATGGCAAAATATTGAGACTGGATAGGTTGCATAAGAGTTGTGGAGTGCTTGTTTGTGAGATGGTTGAATAGGTGATTTGAAGTGTGAAGGAATAATGTATTTGAATGTATTGTGCTGGAGGTGTTGTGTTTTTGGTGGAAGATAGTTGCAAAAAAAAAAATTGATTATCTTTCTGAAGTGATAACATAAGGTAACATGATTGTGTAGCACAATTAGAATATTTGAAAAGCCATCACAACTGAATATTTACTTCATACTAATATGTTACTATTCAACAAATTCTTTACAAAATAATTTAAGAATAGAAACATGCCTTATCTACTCTACAATGTTGGATAAAATTTTAATTGACAAAAAAAAAAATGATTATCTTTCTAAAATTTCACCAAATCTTTGAAAATAAACTAATGTACTATTTTAGGTGAATTTTTTTACCACTATTCAAGTTGGAACCCAATCTCAAAGGAACATTTACTTCCTAATACAATTTTCAAGACACCATTGAATAGGAAAAAGAGAACAGACATTAATATTTATGTAGCTCGTGAAAATGTTGAAATACTATTAGACCGATACAGGAGGAACCAATCCAACCGGTCCAGAAGGGATCGGCCTTGGTTTACTCCAGGCGGAAATAGGGGTCAGCGAAGCTGGATTCTGCCCCCATTAGGGTGGGGCCCAGGGTTTATGCAAGGAGGAGAGGGTGGTTAGGAGGGGGATTAATTTGAAGATGTTTCTTAATCGAAGAGGGTAGATTTTGGGGCTGATTTGAGAGGGGATTAATTAGAAAATGTTTCATAATTGAAGAGAGCATATTTGGGGGTTGATTTGGGAGGGGATTAATTAGAAAATGTTTTCTAATTGAAGGGGGTAGATTTGGGGGCTGATTTGAGAGCTCTTTTGGTATTTGATGTTTATTGTTTGCTTTAAGTAGTCGATTTACCCAAGGGTCAAGTTTATGTTTTTTGTATGCAGAATTTTGTGAGGCTTTGCAGTCCACTGTTTTTGTGGATAAATTATTTTGTGCGGTCACTAAGCCATTAGGAGATAAATCAGAGCGAGTCACGTCACCCAGTATACAACAAAAAAGTGATGTGGGCACGCTCTGATTTGCCTCCGAATGCCATTCGGTGACCGCACAGAATAATTTTTCATTTTTGTGAGGGATTCTAGCGATGTTTAGGATTTGGGAGAGAAGTTCCTGCTCTCGAAAGAATACCATTGTAACTTGCTTGTTTATGTTTCTTTTCTTATCAAAAAAATCTGTGGGTTTGCTGAATTTTACTATTTGTTCGTTGATTTTGGTGCTCAAGTCCTATCAAATACTTGAGTATCTCATCAGAAAATTATGGAGCCCTCCAACTCTCAAATAAAAGTTGGATAATGGATGAGATTACTTATTACAAAAAAAAGAAGTTGAACATTGTAATTCTTTTAAAAGAAAGCTTTAAGATAATAACGCCTTGGATTTATGTAAATTTTGATAAGTATAAAAACTGCGGAATCATCATCATTAACCTTCTCCCAACTATTTTAAGAAAAGGCTAGCAAACAATTAAAAAAGAGCATTTCTTGGAACATGGTGAATCAACAAACAGAGTTTGAAAAAGAGGGCTTACAATTTTTTTTCCTAAAGTATTAAATTTGTATATGTTTCAAAACTAGTTATCCAAGGAAACCAAGAGCATTAAAGCAATTCAAAACCCCGGCCATCAAATTTTCATAGTTATAGGGAGTTGTTGAAAATGGCAAGTGCTGGACAGTCAAGCTTACCTCTTCTCGCACAGGGGTTAAGCACTGGTACGATACATAGCTCTTAACTGCTTTTGGAGAGGTAATATCTTCTGCTTCTGAACCAGATTCGGCAGTGGAGGTATCACTACCCTTCACCTGACCAAGCAGCAAGTGACCAAGCTTTAGTTTAACAGATTAATCAGGTGTACTGTCAAATAGATTTAAGTCGACAAGCCATAGTGCCATACCAATGGATATTTTGGTTTAGCATAAGCAATGATATTTCCCTCTCCTTTTGAAACAGTTACAATCTGCCTTGTGTATTGGGCTTCTCCACTGAGAACCATCTGCATATACAAAACCAAAATTATTATCATGAGCTATAAGATATAATAGCGCCCGCGCGCACACACTAGTATTTACCTTCACAATAGTTGGATCCTTCCAAGGCCCCCTTTCTGCTTTCAAGCACCCTCCTACATCAGGACAGGTGCATGTACCACCAAAAAATTCTGGCAACTCACTAGAGAAAATTCAATATACAAAAAAATGTAAAAATCTACTAGTGAAGAGCCTTTTCACAAAGAAGTAAATCCAGTTTTGAAAGAATACCTGGCATCAATTATTTCATAAAGCTTACCCTGGTACTTGGCACCAATAACCTAAAAAACAATTTGGTCAAACAAGCTGCAGTGCTTTTCAAAAACAACTAAAAAGGCATGAAGTAATAGCCAGGGAAACGCCATAAGTCCATAACTTACATGTATCTTTGAAGTAGTTTTGGGATCGAGGAATGATTTTACACTGTTCCATAGCAACCTAAAACCTGGGCCAGCATTGATGATAAACATGCGACATAAAGTCTGCAAGGCAAGAATAAATTACATTAAATGCGAAGTTCTAATGTTATAGCATAAATATGAAATCAATATCAAATTAAGCAATGTATAAATAGGAATAAGTAAAATGAATACCTCAGGGTAATTGTCACTGTCAATTTTCTGCAACCTCTGAATTAGCTCCCTTGCTGTCTTGCTGAAATTTTTTAACCCCTATTTTACAAGAAAATAATGTCAAAAAATAAGAAAAATAGATACTGTTTTCAACAGCAAAACCATACTATTTGTAAAAAAATACATACCACGCCTTGGACATCTAGAATAGTTGTGCTAGAATCAATATGCCTTTTTGCAGCAATAGAACACGCTGGAAACTTAAGTTGGAAGCTCCTTTCAAACTCTTTAACATGATATTTGACATATCTTTCCATGGTTGTAACATGCATAAGTTTGTTTGGCTCAACTTTCCCCAATCTTTCAATATAAACTGGCCTACCCTCCTTGTCTACACCATGATACCCATGAGGATAGTACTTCAGAACTTCAGGTAACTCTTCATAATCAAAATCCTAATGAAAAGTCCAAGTTACAGTTAAGCACAAATAATATAAAAAGGAAGCATAATAATAACATCAATATATCATTTATAGCATCGGACAAAGTCAAATGGACAGTATATAATGCAAGAAATCATTATGTAAATCGGAAAGGCTCCTCATATTAACACTCTCATACGAGAACCTCTTAGGATAACATGAAGCAGGCAATCAAAATACAAAAGCAAGATTATAGTACAAAAGCAATCAAGCACTTTTGACAACATAGATCCGCACAGTAACTTCAATATTTTGTCACGGGATTGTTATGTATCTATAACAATATTTGAGTCAACTTTCATTAATAGCAAGTCACTACATAAATTTTGCTTCTAAAAGTAGAAGCTTATGAGAATTGAAGTTATATTTCCGCTCACATTTACACTAAATTTCTACTCTAAGCAATGCCTGATTAAAGGCTCAAGGCTTTCAACATAAAAGTCATGGTTAGAGACAGAAATACCTCAATAATTGTGTCGGCACCATATTCCTTCCTCCACTGAAGCATTTCAGCCCACATCTGCTTTGTTTTCTCAATATCAAATTTACGAGCCTTCAAAAACCTAAAGTATCAAATAATTTTCGGTGTATTAAACATAGTAATTTGATGGAAAATCCAAATTTGACAAATAATTAAAATTCCCATATAAAGAAATGCAGAAAATATTGGAAACATTATTAAATCTAAATAGAAGTATCTCTGATCCTAAAGGCAACGGTGTGGATTTAACTTTTTTGTGAGAACAAGCACACCATACACTGACAAATAAAGAACATGATGATGGGTGATAGAGTGAGAACAAGAGAAATAGGTTAAAGCTTAATAAACACATAACTGCGCAAGTATGTAAACATAAATGAATCAACAAGAAAAAAAGAGGAAAACCTCAACATCATATGGTAATTATCATGCTTTGAAGGAAGCAACTCATCAAATATCAAAGATTGGCGAAAAGCATCAACAGCTTGAAGCTCCTCTATATCCCTTATATCCTCAATGGAAACAGAAATAACTCTACTGCTCTTTCTCCTGCTTTTCCTCAAAGTGTGCTTGAATATAGTTGATGCATTTATTGCTTTTTTCCTCAATGACCCAATCCTTGTCCACCTTTCATCTTCCGAGTTCTCAATATCAGATTTTCTTTCTTTTCGTTCATCATGACCAGAAATGGCATCAAAAACTGTTACAATTAAAAAAAGTCAATAGCAGCATGATAAAGGCACTCATATAACTCGAGTAAGTTACTGATATGAACATAACAACATAAAGCAATAAAGCACTTAAGTCATGCAATGGTGTCATAAAACTAAATGCATAATGCATTGAACAAAGAGATCTAAATAAGAAAAAAATTTCTTTTTCCAATTATTAAGGAAAATGTATACTGTCCTTCTTAACAAAATCATTCAAACCGTTCATAGTCATACTGGGAGTACAAACTTTGCACAAATTTAGCCTAACCCTTAAAGTTTTAGAACAAAAATAGGGGTGCATCTTCAAGATTACAAATCAGCTCAAACACAAGAATGACTAAAATTTTCTCTGCAATCGCTTTTTGCTGACATTTTTTAAGGAAACGCTATGGTGCTTAAAAAACAGCTAGCCCTTTTTTTTTGTGACGAGGAAGTACTGTCCTTAGGTTAGTGAAAACCTCGGTCGACCTAGCATGCAACCCACACAAATTTACACGTGCCAACACTTAAGGCTTTCACTACTTGCCAAGGGATTCGAACCAGGGACCTGGGCTTTGCCCAGTTGGCTCTTCACCACCCGGACAAGCAGCGGTGGGTAGCTAGCCCTTTCCATGGATGAAACATGACAAGTACATATCTAACCTATTTTTGGGCAATGTGTCAGGCAGCAAGCCTTTTTTTTTCAAGAACAATCAACTGTTCCATTTTCTACAAAATTGAATTAATCAATTTTTATTTTAATTTTTTCTGATAGAAAAAAAAAACTTTCTTAATGAAAACTAAAAAGGGGGCAGATAACACAAACAGCTCTTTAGTATCTATTTTAGGCAGGATTTAAGCAATATTTAGCTTAATTACAGTTACCAAAATTTTGGGAAATCTAATAAATCCCGTTTCAGCTCCGTTATTGACTAAATCTCACCGTTAATCTTAAATCATAAACCAAATATCCAAATATGTTATCAATATTTAACAGCCAAACATTTTTCCTGTTGTAATCCTCTCAATATGCACTAAATTTAGGAAGATTTAACAGCTAAATAGTTCATCAAGGTCTTAATCTGGATTTACAGAATGACTAAATCCTCATGGAGCCAAACAGCCCAAGATTTCCGATATTTTTACTAAAAGGTCAAATTCAACTCACCAAAAGGTCTGGCGTGGCGCTCCACCGATCCCGTCATGGCGAACTAGTATAAAATTGCGAAAAAACCAGAAAACCAAGAACCCCAACTCACTTCAGGACCGCCGGAAAATAAACAAATACCCTTCGATCCGCCGAAAAACCAACCAAAGGTGTCGAATTTGGTGTACTGGAGGCCGATCTCGTCTGCAAAGGTGCCGATTGAGAAATATCGGCAACGCACGGCGACTGCGGCGACAGTACCCTTCCGGCTTAGTACAGGGAGAGAGGGAGTGAAAGATCTGAGATCAATTTGAGGAAAATCTAGTCTAGCGAAAAAAGGAAACCTTGGAGAAATCTTATAGGGTAATCGCAGACTACAGGCCGAAAAATCGGAAGAGACAGAAAGCTGGAGGACATGAAAGGGTTCTTTTCTTCTCTTTTAATTAATTTTTTTTATTATTTTTTATCCGGCGCATTACGCAAGAATGGGAAAGTGATGTCCTGCCACGGGGCAATCCGCCATTGATATTATCGTTTGCTGATTTGGTCTTATTGGTGGGACGCCGCGGTGAGGACGTTGGGTTGTCACTCTCCCCAAAAGTTCAGGGATCAAAAAATATAGGATCCGATTTTTTATTTGTATCAAAATATTCTCCTTTTATATTTCTGAGCAATACTGAAAGTTGATTCGTATAATTAATTTTTTATATTTTATTTTTTTATTCGTATTACTAATTGATACATACTTAAAATTGATAAACTAGTCGAATTGTGTGAATATGGTGATTAAAAACATTATTTAAAAATTTTATAAGATTGTTGAAACTCCTTTGAACATTAAGGTTTTGTTCGAAGTGGCTTTCTTAATATTTTTTAAAGCAAATTTCTAGAATAAAAATTTCTGTGCTAGAAAGCTGCTTAACAAAATATTAAAAAAGACATCCTAAACAAAATCTTAATTAAGCCTATATTTGCCCTATCATTTGATATGATTACTGAAATGATTATATATAAAGTTTGTAAGTGTTCATATATGCTCGAATAAGAGGTAAAAAACTCATTATTTAATGTATAAAATATTCACTTATGATTACTTTTTGATAACTTACAAAACGACTTAGCTTATAAGAGTGTTAGAACCTCATAAGTGGTGGCCCTATTATATGTCCAAGGAGATTGGGAGAGTATTAGTCATTTGTTTCACATAACTCTAGCTACTCAAGCAGTCTATCGAAGCACTTATAAAAACACTTATAGAAAGGATTCATCATTGTAGTTATATAACTTCGTGGCATTTGCATGCATTGAAACCTCAAATACTATCTTCTAAACTTCATTGTAATTCATTGAAAAATATATGAACTCTGCCATGTATTGTGGTGTGATCTTATTGATAAACATGTAATATTCATGGTGTTATTTTATAAAATCTTGAAGGATTTTTTTTTTTTAATTGTGTGTCTATCCAAATTTTATTTTGGGGAATTTAAGCTCATTGAATGGCTTGGCTCTTAGATGAAGAGATGAGTACTATAGATGAGGTGATCTATACACAAGAGAAACTGCAATGATTTGGGACCATAATATTTATATTTAATATATTTCTCAAATTTAAAATTAAAATAAAACAAATAATATGAATAATCAATGACTCAATATAATACTAAAAATATATTAAAATAATCATAATGTATTGTAGAGATTCTAAAACACACATGTGAAAATTATTCACAATTGGCTCAAAAAAATATAATGGTGTGGGCATATATCAATTATACTAATAATAGTCATATTTTATATTTCATCCCAATAATGATATAAAACAATCCATTTGACTTAAAAAACAACCAAAATACATAAAGAATAACTGAATTACCAAAAAAAAAAAACACATCTACTCAAATCCTCGGTTGAACTTCGACCTTATCAACTACTCAATCTAACATTTCCTTTTCCTCAAAGTACATAAAATTTAGTCATTGAACAAACTTCTTACTTAGTAAGCTGTCCCAAGTCCTATTAGAGAATTCAAAGTTCACATTTAGTTTAATGTAAATATATGAATAATATGAGAGTTCATAATATAAGTTAGGCACAATTTGCAATACAATTTAAAACTTTGACAAGTACAAAACATCAATGTAAACTTGACTTGTGCTAGATTACTACATTTTCTCTCCGAAAGATTAAATGATATCATCCTTCAAATCTCTAAGTTTGTGTGAAGTATAATTCTTCATGTATATCTTTTAAAACTTGGTGAATTTTATGATCTTTGTGGAGCTATGGACATAAGCTTACTTAAGTTGAATCATGCAAATTTTGGTATTCTCATTAGTAGTTCTTAATATCACTTTTTAAGTTACTTTGTGATTTATCATACTAGCCCTTAGATTGAGGGCATTATCTTTTCTAAGAATTGTTGTCAGAGCGAGGATATAAAAAGTATGATGGCTATAAAGTTTGAGACAAAGGAATTTCATGGGTTAAATAGTTTTAACATTTGGAAAACTAAGATGTATGGTGTACTTGTTATATAAGTGCTTGTAAAAATGCTAAGGCATAGAAAAATGCCTGAAATTAAATGTGAAGAATATAACATAGAGATGGATGAGAAGACTCTCTCAATAGTTCATGGAAGAAGATGTCTTAGAGAAGACAACAGTGGTAGGTTTACAGCTCAAGGTGGGGTCATTGTATAAAACCAAATGCCTCTCCAATAAATTTTATTATAAGTAGAGACTACGTACTTCATATGTAGGAAGGTATGCCTAATAATTGTAACAATCCAAATTTCCTGAAAATGAATTTATGTGGAAAATATAAAAAATTTGAAATGCAGTGATGTAGCTCTATACTTGTGAGTGCAACAAAGCCAGGAAGTGCTTGCGGGTGCAAAGGTGTCGGGACAACACAGTCGCGATGTTGAAGTCTCTGTTCTATAGTAATTCTAGGATCAACATGCAGCGTATCAGTGTTGGGGCTTGAGCACTGTAGTGTTAGATTCTAAAAAATATATTTTAATACCATTACCTCCTCCCCCACCCTTGATTTCCTTTGCTTTGTCGGGGAAGAAAGAAAGGAGAAGAAAAAGAGAGGGGAGAGGGGAGAGGAGAGAAATGAGAGAGAAGGTTTTTGGAGATTTTTTGTCCATCGCTCCTGTTAAGAAAATTATTTTGATAATTTTAAGTGACCTCTACTAAAATTGATAAAAAAATATAAGATATCTTGTTTTAGTGAACTTTCATCGTGTAAACTTTGATAGGGGATAGATAATGTCATTATGAATGTTTTAACTGGCTTATATTGAATTTTTACTTGATGGTTTAGCTTATATGATATTTTAATTGAAATGTGTAAAGAAATATTAAGTGTAAAATGATCATGTGCTAATATATTGAATCTGAATATAAGATACATGACATGCATATGATTATTCTTCATTTGACATGATATGCATTTTAGGGAAGAATATAAGCATATGGATAAGAATACCAAATAGATCTATATGAATTGATAATTGCATATGATGTGCACATGAAATGTATTATTATTATATACATGATATGAAATGTATGTGAATGTTATCTTGTACCGAAGGGTGGATCGATGTACTTTTCTTAAAATAAAAAAAAAATGATTTTAACTTGTATATGATTGAGCAAATTATGCTGATAGACAGAGAGTGATGACTCTTTATTGATTTATTAATTTATTGATTAATTGGATAGATGATAATAGATGACAGAAAATGGGTTGATTGGATAGATAATAATATATTACTTATGACATATGATAGATATTACTAATAATAGATGACATATGATAGATATTACCAATAATAGATGACATATAAGACTTATGATATATGATAGATATGATTGGTGACAGATGGTAGATAAGAGCAATGACAGATACAATAGATGTCAGATTAGACAGATTACTAATGATTGGTGACCAATGATATTGATTAATTGATTGAATGATAAAAGAAATATGATTGATGTGTAGCCAAATTAATATGGTATCAATATGAATACATGATATATGACATGTGCGAACCCAAAAAGAAAAATGTGTTGGTAAAATATAATTTTTTTCTTGAATTGCAGCATAGCGGCGTTGTCCTTTGAGCGCCAAGGCTTTGGCGCCTAGAGCATAGTAGCGCTAAAAATGACCGCTGTGGCGTTGGAGTCTCTGTTCTACAGTAACTCTGAATTAACATGTAGCACTAAGGCATTGGGTCTAAGTGCAATGACGTTAGGCCACTAATATAATTTTTTAAATGTATTTTGTTGTAAATATCCATGCTCCGTCGCCTCACTCCCTCACTTGGCATGCTTGGTCGGAAAGGAAAGGACAAGAGAAGGGAGAGAGGAGATATTTAGACCTTCACGTCATTTTTTGTCAGTCGTTCGTATTACGGATATTATTTTATTCATTGTAAGTAACTATTAATTTACTTCTATTTCAATGTTTTTATTTTCTAAGAATTTTTCTCTCCTAAATTTATAAAAAATGTGTGTTTTTTTTGTAAGTTTTCACCATGTAACTTTTGATATGTTTTAAATTTGATAATTATGAATGATTTGATATGATTTTCTTGTATTTTCACCAGTTAAATTAGTGCATAAGCATTTCTCTGTGAAATTTGTGTGAAAATGTGCACTCAAATTAAAGTGAAAAATGATTTATTGTGATTGGTAAGATGTACTGAATTGTGCGGCGTGTTAAAATGATTTCACTGAGAAAGGAAAGGATGTATTGTATTAATATAGATAAAAAAGAAGGTACTATTTGATATCATATATATGGAATGATAACCTATAATGATACATTGCTATAACAATTCCAAAGCAACGATTGAGAGTCATAAGGAGTTGAAGATTGATTGGGAGTCATAAGTGTAGGAGCAAGATAACCTTAAGAAACCCTCATATGAATATTTGATAGAATACTGATTATTTATTATAGAATATTGATTAATGAATGATCACTCATTACTAATATTGCTGATATTGATGCTTACATTGTGCTGATATTGTTTACTATTGATATTGTTGTTGTTCCTGATAATACCGATCACTATTGTTGATACTGATCATCATTACTGACATAGAGGACTGTGATTTGACGTATTATAAACTGAGCAATTAGTATAGATATCAGACACACATATTGATGCATATATTTTCTTATATAATTTACAACATATTGTTTTGCTTGTTCTTGTATTGATTTCAGTTATAAAATTTTAATTATTTGTTGGGTTATTCACTCATTACATAGTTTCAAGTAAGTAGCTTGAAGATTAAGACTATTTATGCATGCAATGATGCTAGTGTAACTTTTTTGGGCTTGAATCAATGTATAAATAATTGCAATGAAATTAATAAGCTCTAATTAACAGATGTTAAAAAGAT